GGACAAGAAGCCGTGAGGGTGGAAAGGAGAGGGAGGCAGGTGAAGCAAGTGGCTACTTTATTTCAGAACAAGGTACCACAGCCACTCCCCTGCCCCTGCACTTGGGAACCTTGGATACAGCCAAGTTGGGCAGCTACAGGCCTCAAGAGACAAAGCAGAGGCAAGTCTGAGTGTGTTCCTTCCCTGTCCAGAGGGACAGGTTGCCACTTCCGTGGTGTGGCTCCTCCAGGCCCCTCAGCTTTCCAGGGACTAGGGAGTAAAGGAACCAGGCCCATCGTCCTCTGAAGTCAAGCTGAGATGGGAGAGCGACACACCTTCCCTGTCTCAGGAGAAGGAACGATGCGCCCCAGGGCTTAAAAGACAGCAGGGCAGGACAGCCAGTCCTGGGCTGACTTCTGGTATGCCACAAAAGATCCAAAGTGACGACAGTGCAGATTCTGAGGGACAAGGCCGATCTCGGTAAAAGTGTCCAGGGCGCAAGCAACCACAGATGTCCAGGGCTTTGCCTAGTCTTCAATCATGCTGGTCTTCCTCTCTCTCTTGGGCATGATCAGACCCAACCAGAGCCTCACCTGGGTGCTCAGAGGCTGCCTGCTCACAGTGGGTGCCCTGCCTTGGGGCAGTTCCAGCTGCTGGTCCCACAGAAGAAGTCTTCAGGGAGCTCACTCAGGAGTCCATCCAGGTCATCTGCAGAGGGGGAATGGAGAGGGTGAGTAGACTGAGTGACAACATTAGGGCTCCATGTGACTCCAGTACAAGGTTCCTGCCCTTTCGGAGGGCCTGAACCTGGCTGCAGTAGGGAGGTGGCTCTCCCTGGGCAGTAGTCCCCGGGCCAGTGGGCCTGACCTCTGTCTTCCCTCTGCTCCCCACCTACCCACACACAAGAGACAGGGGCAAAATGTCCGGGCTTTCTGCTGAGAAAGAGGCTCCCCTTGGGCCTCAGTGGTTCTTCTCCTTCCATCCAGAGGCTCAGCACCCGAGCAGAAAAGCTTCAGAGGTCCCCTGGTGCAGCCCTCTCATTGGACAGAGGGAGAAACAAGGCTGGGGAAAGCCATGATGCATTCACAATCACACAGTTCATTAATCTGGTTTCTCATCTGAAGAGGGGGAGAAAACACCATCTTCTTCCCCAAAGTGCCTCTGTGGGTGAAGGGAATGAAAGTAACAGTTCCTGACTGTGGTTCTCAGATGGGGTGCTTATGTCTCAGAATTTGGAAGCCAGGCTGCCCTCAGTAATCCCTATTGCTCCTATTATTGTTAACAGCAGCAGCTAACCCTTACCGAGTGCTTGCTCTGTGCCGGGCACAGGACCACACACGTCACAATCATCATTGTTTACGTCTCACAGTGCCCCTTCACAGAGCATCTCGTGGTAATTCCTGTTATAAACCCCACTTTACCCCGAAAGAACAGAGTTTAGAGAGGTCACACCACTTGCCCAGGGTGACCATACTCAGGCTCCATCTGATGACAGAGCCACAGCTTCCAACTAGAAAACTCCCACTTAATGGATGGGATCAGGCAGCCAGCTATGGGAGTAAGTCAGACTGGAAACTACACCTGCAGAGCCTAGCTCCCAGTCTGGCCAAGAACACTCAATAAACACCACTGCTGGAAGGATATCAGTTAGTCCAGGGGCACGTGAAATTGAATTAAGTAACCAGCACTGCTCAGGGGAAGTAGGACTGGAATTTGATTATAACAAAAAAAACTGCCCCTCACTAGCTATGCTGTGACTATTTGGAGAAACATTATGTTAAATGAAGGGAAATGAGAAGTCGGGAAACTGGGACTCAGGGTAAGAATTATATCTGTGTCTCTAAGCCCTGTCTAGCCACCACTAGCAGCTGCCTGCTGGGCAGATCTACCCCTACAGTGGAGATGCGACACCAGCCACAATATTCTACAGGCCTCTCCTCACTCTTAGTCCATGACCACTAGCAACCTTGTCATCAAGCTTACTTACAAGGAAAGAATGCAAGGTTCCAGAGAAGATTTCAGCGTAAGGGGAAGGTACTTTTTCACAGGATGTAAATAAATGGGTTTTGTTTTTTAGTCTACTAAAATTTGGTCTACTATGAATTTGGTTAATGTGGAGAGTTGAATTTGTGGAATGAAAAAGCTAAGGACCAGACATGGACTGTGTTGACTTCACCTGGGTGATGCTATCTTCTGAATAACAAGTTGACCTTCCCCTAAGAGGTCTGTATTTGGGCCTCTCATGTCTGTATCCTGGTCCCATCCGAACCACATGGATATTTGACACCTCAGCACTGCCTGGAGGGCCTCCGAGCTTAGTCAGGATAGGGAAATCTACCTCTGTGGTCTGGCCACCAGCCCACAGAAGACTCATGGTGTGGCACAAGGATGGTGCCAACCCACCTCCTCCTTGTGGCTAACAGCACATGGCCTGGCAACGGGTGAGACCAGGGGATCATGCTCGATTTGCTTCATGTGGCCCCGATCACACTGTTAATTATTGTAGTTTGTGGCGGCAGCCTTGCCAGAGAAGACACCACATCTGATTTCTGTAAGATTCCGTAAGATCCAAAGATTCCCAGCAGGAGGAACAAGATGCAGCCCGAGGAATCTGGCTAAGCTAGTCAAAAGGAAATAGGAGAACCTCTTCTGCTCCTGGGTGGCCTGCCTGCCGTACCTGCTTCTGGGAGTTCTTCCTCAGGGGATGCTCCTGCCTCTGGGTTCTGTGCTGTTCTGAGGCTTTTCTTGGGCTTCGCTGTCTCAGGCTGCAGGCTGTCATGGAAGCTTCCTGGATCCTGCAGACAGAGCATCCTGTTACCAATGCTTGTGCCACTGAAACCCCTCTGGACAGTACCTTCACCACTCAGACGACCTCAAAGGAATAGACAGGGGCTCAGAAAAGACAGGACGGAGGAGTGTGGCAGGGGCCAGTCACCCAGGCCCACACTGCACAGGAAGGGAGCTGAAATGCCAGACATCCAAAACAGCAGATAATTAGAAATACAAAACAGAAACAAAAAAACCTTTTTGGCTGATTTTCTTTCCTAATTCTGTTGGTATCTGATGTTTTAGGAAATCTATATAACTGGAGCAGAGAGTGAAGAGGCCATTCAGAAACACGTTGAGGAGTTAGCCTGGGATTAAAAATTATTGGGTTGTCAGAAAAGTCATGACGCATTTTTGCAACGAAAAACAGAAAAAATATGTCATGACTTTTCCGACAACCCAATAACTGTTAACAATCCCCAAACTAGCTAACATACGGACAGGTTAATTAAAATTAGTAACTAAACCATTAACCATGGTTAAGCCTAGGGAATGGGAATAGAGAGTCAAGTTTTATGTTTTGCTTTATTCTGTACCATTTCAGTTTTTTTTTCAGTGAGTATGGATGACTTGAAATTTAAAAGAAAAAGAAAGATGATATTTTTGAAATGGGATGCTTTTGAGAGAATGTGAATGGTTAAGGGGAAAGATGGGGGAAATGGAAGTAGTAAGTTAGAGCTAAAGGTGTAATTTGACTAGAAGTCATTGAGTCTAACCCACTCGTTTTACAAATGAAGCAACATCAGGGGAGGAGACAGGACTTGCCCAAGGTCACATTACAAATTACCCAGGTCTCCTGACTCCCGGGTCAGACCATGACAACAGTCCAGGATTCCAGGAAGGGTGGGGGTGGCCAGAAAAAGGGACGCTGTGTGCCAAGTCGAGGCCAGGCTCTGCACTCTCACCGGGGAGTAGAGCTGCCTGGAAGCCCGGTCTGCCTCAGTTCCCAAAGTGGGTGTACTCACCTGTGTTCTCTGAGGGTGCCCCCTCCCCTAGCAGAGGTGGAGGCCAGGAGGGAAGACACAGAACAAGTGATATCTCACCTGACAGGCCATCTGTAGCTCACTGTTCTCTTCACAGCTGCCTGTAGCAGATCTGACCCTCAGTCACTTACTGAGGACCACCACTCCCTGGTGGACCCTCAACTTGGCTAGTTCTCAAGTGACTGCTACCCTCTCTGATGTTCAAGCCTGCCATCAGACACTCAGGGATTATCAAGAAGCCAGCTGTTCCTCTAGGTCTTGTTACTATGCCATCTGTCAGGTGGCTGGACCAGGGACAGGAGATGGCCCTGCCCCCAAAGGCATCTCCTCAGCTCAGGACAACTGCCCCTTTTATACCTCTGCTCTTCAGGGTGGAGGAAAGGAAGAAATCAGAAGATTTGGGCAGAAAGTGGCTCTCCCAGTCTCCATTCCATCCTGCTCCCCTTACCTTGGGGAAGGGTTGAAATGGCTTGAGGAAGTTCCCATCCCCAGAATCTGGGCTGTAAATATGGACCAGGTTGTTGGGCGTCACGTTGAGGTAGTGGTTTCGGAGTGAAGGAGAAAACACTCCAATCTAGAGTCGAGGAAGGAGGAGGTCAGTGCCCTGATGGAGGGCACTAGGTGCTGCCAGATGGCCACCTGGTCCTGCCTGCCTCTCCCTTGGTGGCCTCTGTACCAGGGTCACACAAATCACTCCTGCCCCAGCCATGGTGCCAGAGCAGAACCACTTCCCATACCCTCCTCCCCGCACAGCACAACCCCCATGACCATCCGCCCCTGAAGAACGGGAGCCAGGCTTTTACCCAGCTCCAGTAAGCCCAGGGTCCAGCAGCAGCCCAGCCACTCCTTGTTGGGGCACTGGGAGGGAAGGGAGCCAGACAACTCGGGGGCCTCCTCTAGGGCAGGAGGGGTGAAGAGAAGCTCCCCATACCTGCTTCAGCAGCAGCACTGAGCCAGGCTTCAGCTCATTTTGGCGTGTCTCGAGCAGCAACCTATGCACCGTGCCCTGCATCTCTCCTGCAAATACCACATGGCCCATCAATCTCAGGGTCAAGGGCAGCACAGTGACTGGTTTGGGCCCTGGCTGGAAACAAGGGACGTGGGCTGCTCACTGCCTCAATTTTCCCATCTGCAAATGGAGAGCGTGACTCCTCCTCACCTCCTGACCTCAATGAAGGCCACTCATCAGGTACTCCCAGGACTTAATTCCTCACCCGTGGGGTCCTTGAAAACCACACTGGCGTCCATTGTGCTCCGAGTCAGGGACTTGATCATCACTGCCATGTTGGGGACCTTGTTCCTGGGAAGCTGCTTCAGGGCTGCCTGGTTACAAGGAGAGGCATTTGCTGAGCCAGCCATGTCCGGCCTATAAGGTTCCGAAGTGTGCCAGGGCAAGTCAGGGAGTGGGGGGTGAGAGCGAGGGCAGAGTATAGGTGATGACCTTCCTTTGTGGAGAGCAAAGGGGCAGTTTAAAGGGCTCATCCCATCTCCCTCTGGCAATCCTGCATTTCTCTCCGCATCTCCTTTCTTTTCTATGTATTTACATAGAGCTCCATCACAGCAGGCCATGGGCAGCATGTACTAACATGCACTAACATGTGTCTGCAATCGACCCTTGACCTCTGGGGAACTCTAAGGGTAGCAGGGTGCTTACCTCACCCCATCCAGGGCCTGGATGTGCAGAGACATGCCCATAACCCGCTCTCTCCTTCTGCCTGTGCCCAATACTGTGGGTAGTAGTGAAAAGGTAGGTGAGTGGAAGATACAACCAAAGGGACTTCATGCTGCTGCTCAGAGACAAGCCCGGGGTAAGAGGGAGCAAACGGAAGCCCCTTTCCTAAGGTGGAGGAAGATAGTAGGTTAGTGAAAGGGATAATGGTCTTCCCTTCGGGTCTCAGCACCCAGGACCCTTACCTTCCGTAGCACCATGACAATGCTGTAGGTAGAGAGGAAGCAGGTGGGGTCTCTCTCATCCAGGCCCAAAGCAGATTTCATGGTCAGCCAAGGCCCTCGCCCAAAATCCTCCTCCACCGATGCCTGGGAACTTGTAACAATCTGGCACCACAAAGCAGAGGGGGAGCCTGTATTAATGGGTCCACCATGCTACAGACCTCAACTGAGACAGGATGGAGGGGTGGGAGAGAAAGGGCGAGTTCCCTATAGATGATTGCCAGTTTCTCCTTTCATTTATGTCCAAGGTCAGAAAATGGTACGTGAAATCTGGTCACATATCACATCTTTCACTTAGCAGCAATAGCAAAGGTACTCTTTATTTTCTTTTATTTTAAATCAGGTCTTGACTTTAATTACATTGAAGCAAAAGGCAATCCATGCTTATCTCTTACATTAGACTTGAAAAGTCTTGGGGCTAGGGAGCCCCCACATACATTGATAGGCTTCCAGAGTGCCTTAGCCATTTTGAAACCAGTCATGTTTTATTAGGGATGCCTCTGGCTTTAACTATTAACCCTCTCAGATAAAAAATGCTTTGGTCCAGATTTACTGCTTTGATTTGAATTGGACTGGTGGATCTGTGGAGCTGCTAGAGAGAATTAAAAGTAAAAGGGGATCTGAGGGCAGAGCAGGTGAACCAAAATGCCAGGGAGGCTGGAGGTTGGGTCTCACCCACTGGAGGCAAGATAAAGGAAGAGCCTTCCCAGCTTAATTCCCAGAAATCTGAGAGGAAGGGCTCCCCAGATACAATTTCCTAATACTTATTCTACTCTCTTTCTGAGGAAAGATGGAGTTAGCTTTCTGTCTTAGATGGGAAAGAAGGCTTGGATCCATGGCATTGGTTAATACCCAGTTGGCATCAGAAGAGCCTTCACTTTATGCCAGTAAAACTGCCACTTCCCCAAATTGCCTTATCCAAATACCCTGTGGTGTGTGAGTGACCCCAGGGAACAGAGCTAGCAGCATCAACTCTGGTTCTCAACTCCTAAAACGTGCAGGGATGTCCCTCACTCTTAAATGATGCTCAGGAAGATAACATTTGCTCAGAATTAGTTACCTCTGTCTGGAATTTAGCCAGAGCACCATGAGTCGGAGTCTGGGGCGTGGAAACCATGATCTCCTCCAGACTTTTCCCACTGTGCTACAAAGGGAGAGGGAGAGAGGAGAAGGAGAGAGCAAGCTCAGCAGCTGTTATTTACAAGTGCAGCTTCTTCTTGTCTGGGTTACATAATGAGTTAGGAAACTATCAGGGACAATTAACACATATTACATCTCTCCTAACGAAATCTCAGAAGCCTCGTTGGCAGCTCAAAAAAGACACTTTGGGAATGTGAGGAAGCTGGAGATGGCCCAGGAGCAAAACCCAGGGATTCCTGAAGTTGGCAATGACCTGAATAGAGAGGCCTATGATATGTGAAGGGACAGCTTTCGGCAAGTCCTTTCTCAGGGACCTAACCCTTCCCTATAGAGATCCAGCCCAGGCGGAATGCCGATGGCCTCCTTGGATTTCTCTTGAAGTGCTAGGGAAGAGCAACTAACAGGCAGAAACTGCTTCAAACACCTTTAAAATGCAAGGAGAGGGGCGCACCTACCAAAACCAGACCAGATCCTCAGAGTCCAGTGATCAGGGATCTAATCTAAGACTAATTTGATGGATCCTGTCCTTCCACCACTGCTGAAATCCAAACTGTCAGCACAGCTCCAGCTTCTCCACGTGACCCATCCATTAGCCACAGTGAACGCTCCTGTGGCTCTCTGAGCATCCTGCTTTTACACCTGTGTGCCTATGCACATACTCTTCCCTGTCTCCCTACTGCTGAAATGTCCTTCAGAGCCCAGCCTTCCAACACACACACCTGTTAACCTCCTACTCATCCATTCAAAGCCCACGCAGCAAGCCCAAGGAGCCCAGTGTCTCCCAGCACCCACGGAATGACCTCTGCTCACACTGTGCATTTTATGTATAATTGTTCGCATCTGCTTCTTCTATTACACCGTAAGCTCCTTAGGACAGGAACTATTTCTATTTTAATCTCTGTATTCTCAGTTCCAAGCAAATTGCCCAACACATGTAAGTCCTTCGCAAATATAAGTGAGTGAATCTTCCTACCCCAGTGCTAGCAAACAGTAGGTGCTCAACAAACGTATGAAAATTGTGCAGTTCTCAGAGCCGTAAGCACCCCTCTCACCTGTGGTTTTTCAAGCATTCAATTCTTCCCTCCCACTTCTTTTGATTCTTCCACAGCTTTGAAGACCCTCCCCTTCTGCACTTCCTTCCATGACTCCCCCCAACAGTGAAGCTATTCTGGGACTGGACAGTGCTGGAACCCTGCTTCTCTCCTTCACCCCTCAATGGCCTGGAGGCTCTGGCTTCTTCCAGAGCGGGGGATGGCAAACTTTTGAGACGGAAGAGCCAATCCTGTCCCTCACAACAATTCAAAAATTATTCGACAGCCATAAATGTATTTTTACAAATAAGAAAAAATCCTTTAAAAATTTTATAAATGGAACTATGATAGTTTTATTTTCATTTTCAATTTTACTTCAGAGCCACATGTACATACTCAAAGAGCCGCATATGGCTTGTGAGCTGCAGTTTGCCGACCCCTGTTCCAGACAGAAGCTGTCACTCACCTGGTGAGGCAGGATCCCTGCTGGGCCAGGGAAGCGGCGTGCTTTGGCTTGGGGGGCAGTTCGTGTGGGTGGCTGCGGTGTCCGGTTGGCAGCAGTGACCAGCTGCACCAAGTGGTTGGTGACTATGGGTGTCTGCAGAGATGCTTGGGGAACCAGAGAGGAATGGGGGCCCTTTGGGGTGCTGATAGGAGACTCAACAGAAGACACTGGAGCTCGGGGCCGTAAGGGCCCCTGAGGGAAAAATCCAGAGACAGTCCTTGAGGGAGTAGAACAGTTTGAGTTGGGAGTTCGTGGGCCAGGAAAATGAGATTTGCCACTCAAGCAGGCATTTGGAGATTGGAATGGCTGACTGGTGCCATGATTTTGAGGACTTCTCTGAACAGGCCTGCCAGCAGCTTGGAGAGGCTGGGGTGCTCGAAGAGGGGGACCTTTGGGAGAGACTTCCCATTGGGGTTGTTGAGCAGGAACTGTCGAGGCAGTTGGAATAGGAAGGTTACCCGTGGCACCAGGTCTCAAGTGGGGCTGTGGAGGCCTACAGTGGACAATAGAATCTGGAGGCTGATCCTGAGCTGACGTGATACTAGTTATGTGGGGGGCGGGCATTGGCCCCTTTTGGCAAGATCTGCTCAAATCAGCCACCCGAGCCTTTTTAGCCAATACTGAGTCTTCCCGCTGTAAGGTAGGCAGGATTCCTGTGGTCTCACTGCCAACTCCAAGTTCCAGCTCTGTGCCAGGTCCTTCTAGCTCCATGCTTGCCAGAACCTTATCAAATTCATCTTGTTCAGGTCCCTCAAAGCCACCAATCCCCTGCTGTTGGCTCTCAAACGTAAGCGGAGGGTGGGAGGTCAGGGGCCTTGCTGGCTCTCTGAGCACTTCTGTCAGTGTCACTCTTCTCTGATTGCCGGTCCAGCTGTTGGAAGTCGAGACAGGCTTTAGGGAGGTTGTTCCTGTGAAAGGTGGACCCCTGAGCATACTGGAGGTAGGAAGGCGGAGACCCAGGGCTGGTAGGCCCGAAGCCTCTGAAGGAGTAGTGGGGCCTGATGGCAGCTGCCTGGAAGACTGTGCCTGCACAGTCTCTTGTGGCCTTGGAGGCACAGGCCTGAGGCATCCAGCATTCGTAGGCCGTGAGCCTGCAAACTGGTTCTCTACATCCTCCACAGCAGACAAGAAATCCTACAAAGAAGCAGAGATGGTGCATTATGGCATCTGGAAATCAAGAAATACTTTGATTTTACTATTTCAGGCATGTGGTATGTATGTGCAGAAACACACAAGCAAGAAACCGAGGCATGAAGGCAATGGTGGAATCTCTCATTGCCTTTGACCTTGCCCATGAGCCAACCACCAGGCTTCCACCAGAAACATTCACAGGCTAAGTCTTCAGGTAGCATCTCTCTTTCTTCAGTCTCAGGTGTGTGTGTGTGTGGGGGGGGGGGTTGGGGGTAGGTGGGGGAGGCAGTGGTGGCAGTTGGGGAAGCAGCAGGAGAAGCAAATACACCAAAGCATACCAAGGAGTCAAACAAATCACCTAAGGTCACAAGAAAACTAGCTTTCTGGTATCCAGCCTGTGCACTAGGGATCTGTCCAGCTGGTCATGCTGCTTGTCCTCAGCCCACTCCTCACCCCCACCACACACACACACACACACACACACACACACACACCCTTCAGTAAGTCAGAGAGGCCTAGTAGGCAGAAGTTAAATATAGCTTTTCAGGCAAGTTAAATTAAGTATGGATTCCAGTTGGGAAGCAAAGTGAAATTGAAACCTTCAAGAGCAACAGACCTGTTCTGAGGGTGGTTTTGAGTTAGAACTGCTGATTTAACTGACAGGAAGGTCCCCTTGCCCCCTCCATCCCTGCTGCAGTACTGGATGAGAAACGTTTTTCCCTGCTTTGTGTATTATCAGGAGAATAGCATACTCCAACACAACTACCTTAGGATTTAATAATAATAATAATAATGGTAATGATAATAATAATAATAATAATATCAGAATTACTGCAGCAACAAAATCCTGATGACCCTGGAAGTTGATGAATCCCTTTTCTCAGGAAGAGCTCACTCTCTGAGATGATGTCATCTGCCCTGGGAAGGGGGAAAGGGACTGACTGGTCACGGAACTTGAGCTGTCAGACTCCTTTACTCTTAATTTCATTACCAGCCTAGCAGTCCTACCATCACCTGGTAAGACCCAGGAGGGTCACTTTAACAGTCACCTTTTCAGCCTGTAATCACACATCTCCAAAGCTGAAAGACAAACACAAGGACACGTCTCCTTGACAAAGCTGGCAGTTTTGAATTATTTGTAAAAACAACAATCAAGTCCCCAAGTGATAACAAAAACATCTAACATTTGAAACCTCACTGGGTGCCAGGTACCATGTAAACATTTTACCAGAATTCTCTCAATGGCCCTCTGAATAGGTAGTGTTAATATTCCTGTTTTATGAATGCAGAAACCGAGACTCAGAGAGCTTAAGTAACTTCACAGAACCAGGACTAGACCCTATATGTGCCCTTGTCACTATGTTTTAGGGTCTCAATGAATGAGACAAGCCAGAGGCTGATTTTTAAGATGTCTGAGGAAGGTCATTTTTCCCCTTCAAACCTCAAAGGGAGTGTGGGTTGGGGCTGCCAGAAGGATTTCTGATACAGCATTCACATGCGGCACAAATTAGGCATCTGGACAAATTTTAAAATGTGATTTTAAAAAAAAATTTTTTTTTACTGGGGAACAGCCATGGTCATTGGTTACACAATGCTTTTGTGTTACAATGGCATAGTTGACTCTTTAAAGGAGGGCGCAGCTCACAGTGGCCCAAGCAGGGATCGAACTGGTAACCTTGGTGTTATCAGCACCACACTCTAACCAATGCTCTAACTAGTCACCCATAAAATGTGATTTTTAAAGCCAAGCTCTGGGAGAGAAAAAGTAGGTTTAGGTTTGAATGGCTTGTCACTAATAAAATAGAGCAATTTTATTCTATAAATGCAGTTTAGTAGTTTCCATGTATGTTAGACTGGTGTCAGGGAGCCAAGATCTCATCCTGTATGTTGGTGCTGTAGTCTTAAGCAGGTTGATTTACCTTTTTGGGCTTTATTCACCTAAATCCTACCTCTTTTTGAAAAGGATTTAAAGTCACAATCTGGGGCCTCCCAGATGAAACTATATCTGTTGGATCTAAGAGAGCTGTAGAGATCTCTAGCTTAGTGGTCTCCAGCTGCCCCCAGAGGTTAGAAATATCCCTGCCTGAGCCCATCACCAGAAATTCTGATTTAATTGGTGTGTGGTAGAACCTCAACAGGAGTGATTCTAATGTACCAGCTTCAGATCTAATCTAATCCCTCATTTTCTGAGGAAAGAGAAGAGAGGGAAGAGCATTTGAGGCAGAAGAACATCCCTCCTAGTACAGGAGAAAAATGGAAGGCCAGAGAAAGAAGTCATTTGCCCTAGCTCACATAGCCAGTTGGTGACCCCAGGCCTCTTTCCTTCCAATAATAGTGCTGTCTCCGGCTCTCCATAAACTTTCTTCCCACCTCAAGTATGTCATCAAGGAGGTGATTCAAATCATCCACACTACACAGCTTCCAGACAAGGGCCCTTATAATTTAAAGGTATGACAATCAGGCAGCTCATCTCTCTGGCTTTTTATTTGTTTCTAAGACAGTTAAGTAGGCTGTTTACATTTCTCATCATTTCTCAGCCTCTCACAGACAAAAAAGATGTGCATATCAAGTAAAAGGAGACCGGGGCAGACTGCTCCAAAATGTTCCCGACCTGGGTATTTACATCTTAAGACCTCCTCTGATCATCAACACTTCCTTACCTCATCTTCAAACTCCTCTTCCACAGCAAATAGCTTCTGCAAACTGCATGCCTGAAAGGAAAACAAAGCAATCTAGGTTGGAGGAGAAATACTTACTGTTTGCAAGTACATTCTGTCCTCACTCTGCTTCTTCCCAATTCTAACAAGACCATCAGGTGTACTGTTTTTGGTTTGTTTGTTTTGCTAGTGTTGGGGGAGGAATAAGGGATTAGGAGAGAAGAGATGGGATTTATTTAAGTCTTAGATGATTGAATCCCTTCTCGTAAAATAACCCACTGAGGTCTGCCTGTATTAATCTTGGAAGAGGGGGTAAGAGGCAAAGGGAAGGCTGCCTAAGGGAGCATGGGTTATTCTTCAGACAGCACTGTGCACATGGGCCTAGGGGTTTTGCAACATCCCAAAGGTCTGGCCTGAGGAACCTTTGTCAAACATAAGACAGGACCATAAATCCAAGCATGCCCAGCACAGTGGACTCGTTTCTAAAACCAAGCCAGTAGTTTCCTTCTATCTAATCCCATGCCCAAAGGCTAGGGTCCCAGGAAGGTGGGATGCCCCAATCCACAGTTCCTTCTTTCTAGGCAGCAGGGCTGCTGTGGCCAGCTCTTAGATGTATATCAAACTCAGAGCCAAGGGCTGTGCCTAACCCCAGATGCCAGGGCAGCAAGAGCTACAGTTAGGGATACACGCCCAAGTGTCCAAGGATCAGAGTGGACGGGTTGGGGGGCGGGGGAGGGCTCAGGGGCGTGACGTTTGAGCGCATGGGGATAGGATGAACAGGAGTTCTCCAAGAAGAGACGGAAGGTAACAGGAGAATAACAGGCCCCGAAGGCGGTGGGTGGAGAAAGCCTTCACGGGGTCTCCGGGCGCGTCCATGCCAAGCCCTGACTCGAGCCCAGGTCTCCTACCTCACCGAGCTCTCATATTTAAACCCTAACCCGGCCCTGTAACTCGTACGGGTGAGGGGCTGGAACCGGAAGGCAGTTAGCCGGCCCCGGGACCTGGAGGCCCGGCGGCCCGGGGCGCGGCATTACCATGGCGACGACTGGTGGGTTTCGGCCAAAGGGGTAGCTGGGCAGGCCCCAACTCAGGGGGTCGCCGGGGCCTCGGACTTAGCCCGGAGCGGAAGGGTCGGAGTCCGGGCGACCTTGTCCTGGGGCGAGGTCGAAGAGGTCTCTGCGACCCGGGCGGGAGCCCAGGGAGGGTCGCCAAGAAGCCGAGGTCCCGTGCCCTAGGCCGCATTCGAAGTCGCCGCCACGCCAGTGTCTCCGCCCTCTTAAAGGGGCGGGCCTATTTCTATCCCGCCGACACAAAGGCCATTCACCCTCCGGTTTTCCGCCCCGGTCTTAAAGGGAAACGGATGGGCTCTCGGTCGCCCCCCAGCGGCTCCTAGGACGGGGTCGGCTAGTTCTCATTAAGCCAATGATGCCCACCCTCTCTTGTGTTAAGCACACTAGGGATTAGGTGCTTGAGCGTGACTCTCATTCACACCAGAATCCACCCCGTTGGTTTGTTTGTCTGTTCATCTATTAATATTTATCCATCCATCAATCCATCCATCTATCCTTGCAACATAATTATTAAGCAAAGATATTCTCGGTCTGGCTCTTTTTCATCCTTCATGCTTCAGCTTAGATCTTCGCTGTCACCTATTCTCTCAAGTAACATGCCTCCCCCATCACAACTATTTTCTTCTTAGCACTTTTAATAATTTATAATTGTCGTGGTTTACACAACAATTTATTGTGTGCCTTTCTTACTTAGAAGCTGAGCTCCCTGAAGGCAGGGACCTAGTCTGGCTTGTTCAACCTTGTATCCCCAGCACTTAGCACAATAGAGTTATTGAATGACACAACGGCTACTTTGTATCAGGCACTGTGATTGACACTGGGGATAGAGAAATGAATGACTCCTTGTGCCCTCAAGTTCACAAACAAGTCAGGGAGACACAGATCAAAAGATAGAGTCCAGGAGGATTGTGTAGAGAAACAGGGAGGGGCCTAGTGAATGCGAGTGTTTGTCACTAAAGCCTGCTGTGGTTAATGACCCTTAGTCCTACCTCAGTTTTTCTCTATGCTTGTTGCTACGGGACTAGTCAGAATGACTAGCTAGGGCTGCATAGTTTCAAGGACTCAAATGGCAGGAGGAAGGTTGCTGACTCTAGCTCTTAACCGTCTGATCTGAGCCAACTCTAGATCTTCCCCAAGGTGGCTTGGCCTGGCCTTACCTCTGGGCAGCCTCTGGCTTCCATCATAAGTTTATGTGGGCCAGTTTATCTGCCATACGTCAGAATGGAGGCCAGAATGGCAATGGGAAAGGAAACCTGGACTCCTAACTTTCATCCAAGTTAGAAGTTCCCTCAGACCTTTGTGCTGCTGAACTGAGGGACAAAATCCCAACCATTTACAGGCCTCCTCTCCTCATAGGAATCCCAGGCACAGCTCATCTTGCCCCGTTGTGGATAGTCCTGGAGACCCAGTTCCAGGACTCCCTGTGGATCTGACCTCTGTCAGCTCTGGCTGACAGGAGATCACAGAGCCCAAAAGGCCAAGAGGAATAATAACAACTATCCACAATAGTTTGCCCCTTCCAATTTTAACCAATAGCTCATTTTGTCGTCACAAAAATCTCATAAATTGTGAGGGGGCAGGTATTCAAAGATTAGAAAACTGAGGCCCAGGGGAGGAAGGGACTCCCTCAGGGTCACAGTCACTCATTGGTGGATCTTATGGTTGGAAATCCTATACTGCTCCTCCATTACCTTTCTAAGTTAAATGAACTTGTCATCTACTACTCCTGCCTCCTGTTAGAACCTGGATAGGGGTGGAACAAATGGAAATTGTGGACTTAGGACATTTTAGAGAGGGGTTGGCAGGATGCAGTAGAGAGGTTGTCTGTGATTTTAGAGTTGGGAAGGACCTCCATGCTGAAGGGTTCTTCCCCAAATCAAATGTCTTCTCCTTCTTAGCATTGTCATCTTAAGGTAAAGGCAAGGATTAGGTCTCCATGTTGATGGGCTCTAGGTCCCCTTCCTCCTCTTAGAATAGGGGTTAGTGGGCTTAACCCTAATAACCAGGCTTGAGGAGAATGGAGACAGACCAAACAGGAGTGAGTGGATTCAGGGAAAGGGAGAAATGGGTGCTGAGACTTACGGTAGGCAGGAGGACCAGGTCCCCAGCTGCGAAGTGCGGTACAAAGCAAAGCAGAGTGAGTGTAATGAGCGGGTCTCAATAGCACTGTGATTTAACCTAGAATAATAACAGTGCTTCCTGGGCACTCTCTGTGTTCCAAGTAAGGTTTTGGGTACTTTACATGTATCAACTCACTTGATCATTGTAACAAGCCTTAATATAGGTGCTAGGATTGCTTCCACTTTACAGGGGAAGAAAGGGTCAATGTCTTGCCCAAGCTCACATAGCTAATAGGTGGTGGAGCTGAGATGATGAACTAGGCAGTGTGATTCCAGCATCCACAGGCTTAACCACTATGTTGTTTTGCCTCTTAGAATTCCAAGGAACTGGACCTTAACCTGGGGCTTCAGGAAATATAAATCCCTTATAATTATATGCAAAACGTCATGTGCCTATGCATATGTGCCTGTTTTTGAGAGAGAATCCATGACTTTTATCACATTTTCATGGGTCACAAGTCTGTTGCCTTGCTTTTCTCAGGACCAGGATACACCCTAACCCTCTATTCCCCCCATCCCCATCCCTCATTTTGTCCAGTTGCCTTACAGTCTATATCAGGCCTTACTATCTTCTGCCTGGACTATTGCAGTAGCCTCCTGCATGGTCTCCCTAGTCCAAGCTCTCCTCCTTTCTGTCCATTCTTTCTACATGCAAATGGGATCTATTTTTTCACAGTAATAAATCTTCAATCCCTCGCTGCACCAGAGGATGACATATAAGATCCACAGGGCCTGCAATGCCCTGGCACCTGCTTTCTCGCCCTATCTCATCTTCAACCAACCTCTCAGTCAATACCAATTCCTCTCCACTCCACTCCACTCATTCTTCATGCCTCAGGTAGCAGGCTGCCTCCTCTAAGAAGCCTTCCTTAACTGTCCTAGGCAGACCCAGGTTTCCATCTCCTTGGTTCCCTGCATTTGGGGCCTACCTCTACTATAGCTTGGGTCTCTTGTATGCCCTGTATTGTCTTTACGTTTCTTCTCACACCTCCCTGATGGACTTTGAACTCATTCAGGGCAAACAATTATGGCTTTTTACTTTTGTGAACTTGGCATAGGACCTGGCACATGGAAGACACTCAGCAAACATCTGTTGAAATGACTTAATGCCATTTGTCAGGAGGGAGTGTGAATGAGACTGGGCAACTATATGCTCATGTCTGCAAATATCTGCAGTTGCTCGATAAGGAGCCTCACCTTCTTAGGTACAAAAGAGAGCACACCTGAAGAGAGAGAGAGAGAGAGAGAGAGAGAGAGAGAGAGAGAGAGAGAGAGAAAGAGAGACAGCATGCTGCATCGGCTAG